TTTTTAAAATTTGCAATATCGAAACTCTTAATTCTATTTAATTTTGTGTAATTTTTTTACGCATTTACGTTTTAGTACCACTGTACTTATTTAAATATGTCTATATATTTTTTCGCTAATTATTACTAAACATATTAACATTAGTGCTCATTAATATGCTTTTTTTGTTTTACTAATATACATAAATTGCTAAGTTTGCTTACTTCATCTTAACTGCTCTTTAATAAGTAGAGTTTAAGTACAACTAATTGGATCTAATTTTTTATGAATTTATAAATTATTTGAATTAAATTAAGTTTTTATTGTCTACCAACTTACACAAAATTATTATTTTTATTTGTTTTTCAATTTAGCTACGACCTAGCTTATATGAATATTTAATATAGTAGGAGGCATCATCTACGAAACTTCTATTTAATTYAAAAATTATTCTAATTACAAATTATGGATATTACCCGTCATTTGGATTTAAATATTTAATATCATGAAATTTACTTCAACTTGCTAACAAAAAAATAATTAATTGAAATAACAATTTAAAAAAAGTAATAAAATTAAATTAGAGCGGCAATTTGCATTTTATAATTTTACACTTGGCTTCAACTCCAACTTCGGTTGCGCTGAAGCGAAGGTTGTATGAAGAAATTTCAGCTGAGATCAACAAAATTTCCTCAGATATTGAAGTGATACTTTAAAAAGGTTTCGGTACAAGAACTTAGTTTTGATAGTTAAGTTTGAATGAGTGTTCCGATATTGGCGATTTCAACAAAAAAGCAGCATTTTGGAGAGAAAATTATACTCGTATTAGTGTAGCAATACAACTAGCCGAAAGGTACCTAGTTCGGGAACTAAATACTTAATATTTTACAGAGAAGGAGACTTCAACGTTTCTTCCGATGATAGTCGTRAATTCATGGTTATACTGAGTAGTACTATGTATGATTATAATATAATGGAATACAATTGCCTTCCATTTTTGGTTGGCGCTACAATACCGATATAACATGGAATTTAAGAAGACAGTTTAATCCTTATCGAAATCACTACACACAATCTTGAAAAGGGAAGCACGCTCCTTAAATCTTTTTATATGCTGCTCTGACTACTTTAGAAAATACATACATACTATCATATATTGAAAGTGCAGTATTTTCTGCCGAATTGTACTTTGAATATTGAACAATATTGAAACAAACGGGTACTTAACTCTTCTATACCTCCTCAACTTAATAAATTGTATAACTGGAGGTATCTACATAGAAACAGCTAAATTCTTCTATAATAAACCTTCTACTCAAATTCTCAATTTTTTAATTATTTGGCATCAATTTGTCGTATACACTTGTAATAAATTGCATAAGCATTTGAAAAGAACATTGGAGCAGAAAGTCAGCTGGAGGTACGCTCCTCCATTAGAACATTTCGGAATGTTGACTAAAATAGTTTGAATATCAAGTGTTTTTCCAAAGTTTGACAATAAAATATTTACTTCACTCTCAGTTTGGCATTAGGCAGATTCCAATTCAATACTGTTCACTTGAGAAATGGAACTTCCTGCTCATATTTAGGAGCATGTTATCAGAGTTCATTAGAGGGCGGCGTTACGCCCCCCATTTTCAAACTTGTTTGCCCTTAGGTGCCCCTTGCTACTACTTATACAATCTCCTCTGCCAAATTACAGTTCCATATCGTAAGTTAGTGCTTCATTGAGGCACTTGATAGGTTTTCGTACTGCCAACTTTGCTGCCTTTTTGCCATCAAGATATCTCAATTTTTACTCAAGCTCGCATTGATGGACAGAGTGATAGACAGACAATCAAACAGCCACCCAGATTTCAACTCGTCTCGTCATCTTGATCATTTGTATATATAAAACCCTATATCTATCTCGCTTAGTTTTAGGTGATACGTTCAACCGTTAGGTGAACAAAATTATTATACTCTGTAGCAACTGGTTGCAAGAGTATTAAAATGTTAGCTGTTATTATATAATATATTTAACGACAGGTGTAGCGGCGAGATTATCTTTCTGTTGGTTCTAACCCCAYATAGCTGACTAAACTCATATTTTTGTCTGATTCTGATCTGTCTGAAGTCGACTCTTTGATTTTTATCCTAAGGAAAAGGAATAACAAATTTCATTACAAGATTTGTTTTTTAAATTTTTAAATTTGAAAGTAATATACTTTATTATACCTACGAAAAATTGTTTTTGCCTTTTACTTTGATCCATTAAGCGGCACTGTGAAAAATAGGCTGTTGTGTAGAGTTTCCTATAACAGAGTGGTCACGCTTACAGTCATTATTGAAATTTAAAATAATGTGGAGAAGAAATTGAATATAAGTGAAATTCAAAATCAAGTAAGGGGTAATTTTGACCCTCAAAAGCATTTTTATCCCTTTTCTGTTTTTATGATAAAGAATTCTTTTACTGACATTAAAAATATGCCTTTTGAGTAAAGTGGACAACATCTAATCTGCGGCATGAATCGTCTAAAATTTCTTTCCGCTCCAAAAAATCAATTTGGAAATAATATTTGTCTAATTCGAAACTTAAGAAACTTAATTTTACACAAACATACTTCTATACTCATACTTATTTGAATACCCTAAGACAAAACTGTTGCTATTGTTAAAATATATTCGTAGATACATTTATTTGTTGTATTRTTTAGTGGGTTTGTTGTTGAATTTTTGTTGGCATAACTATTGTAAGTATTTTTGCGTTGTTTCTCGTAGTCATTCTTTTCTGTATATGGTATGTATGGTATGTAGTACACATTTCACTGCACCTYTGCTCTACTCTGTTTTGACCTGTAGCTTGTGATGTTTGGTGGTTTAGTGGCAYTGCATTTAGTATCACGCATTTGTCAGCGTAAATGTCACCACCAACATGAGCAGATGCGCTACAAAGATCGAGACGGGCGTTTGCAGCAATGCTGTGGCACGTCCACATTGCTGTATTTCTATTTCCTCGGGATGATAGTTGATGCATTTTTTGGGTCGGCGACGCTTTGCACTCTCCYGCGACTGGCGACGAGCACTGCARGCGCCTAGAAAATTGWTTGAGGAATATTTTATTAAAAAATGTTACGTAATATGGTTTTTAAAAGTCCATTTATACCAATAGTACCCGACTCCTCAAGTGGTTCAATATCCAACTGTTTGGAGCCGCAAGGRCATAGTGTATCCACCACTAATAGTATCAGATTGCTATGTGGTATTTTTTGTACGCTGAAGGGGCGTTCACAACCGGATACGTGGCAATTTGTTAGCTTGCCCTGGAAATGCGAAATTTTTGCGATATTTCTGTAACTTTTGCGCACCTGAAAAACCTACCTTAAGCGGATTGTTTTGTCCTCCTTGGTTGAGACGTTCTGGTTGCAGCATATATAGATCTGTACGCAGGTCGCAGCGGCGTGCATGCTGTGGGTCTGGAGAGGCGCGTGGTCCGGTGTGTGGTTTATGTTGCTTAGGGGCTGGTGTTGTGTATTCCTAGTAACAAAAGTGATACCATTTAGAAAATAGATTTATATGAATTATGATTGTTACTTCAGCTCAATATTATTGGGAAATTTTATGAAGATCTTAAACATAGGTTTAAATCAGTCATAACAATTTTCCCCAAATTAATGCAGCCGGATTGACAGCACCCGAATAGAAGTTTATCCGCTCAGTTTACAAACATGCAACAGYTTTTTCTGAAAGTTTGAAACTAGAGTTCTTATATGTTTAGCGAACATTTTTAGGTACTCCAACCCTTCCATTGAGATTCAGATACTTTATCTAAGTACCTAGCTTCTCAGAGATTTAATGSTTTGGTGTACTTCGTGTACTTCGTGAAATGTTTTTATTAGCCTATAAACAACTCTTGGTGAGAGGAACCATATATTTTTAAAGTTTAGAAGCCAACCGACTTCTTCCTGGCTTTATGTTATACAGCGATTAGAATAAGTTAACAAGATCAATGCTAACTAGAAAAGTTTCCCGTACAAAAAATGGATTTTGATCGTTCAGTTTGTATGGAAGCAATATGCAAAATTAACTCGATGTCCGTTGCTCCGACAAATAACCATCTTTTTAAGAAGAAAGRACATGAGCAAAATTTCAAAGCAATATTTCGAAAACAGAGGGCAGATGGACATGATTAAATCAACTCAGCATGTCACGCTGATCATTTRTATAACATATAACATATATAATATAAACTTATCCCGACGTTAGGTTTTACAAACTTCGTCGCAATCTTAATATAATTTTCCTCATACAAATATAATTGTCACTTCCATTCATTTTCATTTTTATTTTAATCAAGATTCTTTAATTTACCCCAGATATTTCACTTACCACATCAGCGGTTGTGAARAATTCATCCATTTCTTCATCGATCTGTGCATTGTAGTCCTCGAAWGGTTCGTATTCGTCTGTATATGTGGGTTCTTCAAAGACATCTTCATTATAGGTATAATCATCTTGTGGCCATGCATTTAGAGGTGCTGGCAATAGCGATAACCAAGTGGCACTCAACGACACCAAATATTTCATTAGAAAAGTGGAGACACGATGTGGCTGTAGGGAAGTGCTTGCAGCCGTATACGGATTGTCAGAGTCGGAGCAAACGCCCTGGTAGTCATTGACCGTGACACGTTTATAAATGCGATCCTGTACCAAGGAATCCATAATGGTACCATCGATTTGACCGAAAAACTTGCCTGATTGTTCACTCTGTTCCGAAATGATGACAAAGCCGTTGTTGTCCAAAACATAGCAATCAAGATCGTCGGAAGCGCATGTGCGGCGACAGCCTGTCATGCCGGTGCACTGGAGAGAGAGTAATAACCACGGTATTTTGTTATAATTTAAAGCACAATTGCGTTACTTACGGTTGAGGTTATGTTTATGAAATGTTTCGCCAACGAGTCCAACTGGAACTGTAGTCCCACTACYGCGGCTATTGCTTTGTGGCCACGATGTTCGACAAATATAGCATGCGATGCGGTTACAAGCGTCGTATTTAGTTTGGGTGCATAACCATTGGCAAAGGGTACACTGTAGACAAAGCTATCTTGTTCGACGGTATGCTGGTCCACGGCGCGTTTGTACCACGGCATATCCATGGCACGTGCGTTATCTTCACTAAAGTGGCTACAAAGAAAYAAAAATTTCAATATTCGTTGTRAATTTAGTTTTATGGCTTAAGAGCTTACGGATCAGGTGAGTCTTCAGGTCTTTTGATATGATCAATCCAACGTAGCAGACCCGAACGTGTGGCCACAAAAGATGTTGCAACCAAAAACTTTTGATAGCCTTGTCTGAAATTATATTTAAGAGTTGACTTACTAAAGGAATTGGAGATGTGTGTTTTTCAAAATATTAAGCTCAAGCTGCAAATTTTACAATGGTTAGGTGCTTATTTCACTTTCTTTCTAACTCCAGCTACTAAATGCGAATACCGATGTCGGTCCTTTGTGAGAGCTAAAGCATATATTAACGATACGAGGTTTACAATTTTTAAAGTGCCTAGTGGTTAAAGTTATCTGACAGGTGTGAATCAAATTATCTGACAGGAGTGGACCCCTGGCTTCAAGGGTCTCACATAAGCTACTTGTAAAGTACAAATAGTATAATAAGCAGTTAGAAAATATATTACTTTTCGATGACGTTCCTATTCTTACAACAGCAGATCAGATCTCTAGTGATCAACAGTTAAATAAAATTAGAAGAAGCAAAAGGCTCCAAGAGAAGATTCGGTATATAATGAATTTTAACAACCGTTGGTTAGCTTAGATTAGGTTATTATTGTGAGACCACGAACAGTTCCATTTGGACAGCTAGAGGCTATTGCCGATTTTGATGTGCAGAGCTCATAGGTATTAAAAAACCAGCACATATGCTAATAAGCCATTAAGTACCAATAAGATAGTGTCCAGTTAAATGATCGGTATCATTGTGGGCATTTGAGCTTTCCTAAGAGCAAGTACTTAAGTAGTTCAATAGGCCTACGTTCCACCCAGGGCCGGAGAGTTTTCGACACCGCAAAAGTGGTGGTTGCTGACAATCGAATGCTGAGTTCGTAGGAGGATTATAAATATACGAAGACCGGCAGCTTAATGGCTTTACTGTTTCCAACAAATCCGCTGTAATCACGTTTTAATAATTGTTATGCACAAAAAATCGGTGCAATAATATTTATCAATAATAAACGGATAGAACTGTCCGAATTCAAAGGCAAAATAGCATTGGAGTAAAAAAGAAATAATTTTCAAGCACTCATATTAACATAGGCATATTATATAACAAAGTAAGTTAACAGCAGCTAAAATAAGTCGTAGATCTAAGTATATTTGGGTAGTCCACGAAAGCTTTCATACTTGTGGGAGTAGCTTTCATATTTAAAAGCTTAGAAAAGCTTGTCTAATGTAACAATTTCCGTCGGAACTAGCGTAAATATAATATGTAGCTTACAATATCCAACACGTCTCTAGGCAGCATTAGCTTACATTAACATCATTTTCGAAAGCAGCGTAGCGATAAAATTTATTCGGTACGAGAGTAATTTACCTTTTTAAAATTGCCATTAAAGTGGCTATTGGACTAGATATTTGTTTTTGATATTTTTGTTTGTTTATAAAATATATATTATGTATAAATGGCATAGATGAGTAGAAATTATTGCATTTGTAATTTTATTTGCATTACAACCAACGCGTATATCCATTAAGTGATTATTTATATAAGAAATATATGTAGACCATTAAGATAGTAACCAAAACAAATTGCAAGAAAGTAAAAAAGAGTAGGAATACAAATATAAAAGAAATTTGTGCTTTAGTGCATAAAGTTTTTGCTTTAAAATTAATAATTTTCAATTAATAAAAATTTTTAAATGATAATTATAGAATTCTTGTTTGTGCTGGAAAGGGTGCTTTTAATCAAATGAAATCAAATAATATTACGTAAAAGAATATTGTAAATACTCTGCACGAATGGAAGTTGTTTATTTGAGTTGTGAAGTTGAGTTGAGCTAAATAGTTAGCTAAGGTTGATAAGGTTCGAAAAGGTTTTATAATTCTACAAAGCGACTGAAGGCTATTGAGCAGAATTTGAACTATATTTTCCTGAATAGAAGAAAAGATCTTTGGGCACCTAGCCAACGAGTATTGTCCGATAAGAATTTTCGAAGCGTTCAAAAAATAACGTTCCTTTCCACAATTAACTCGAGGAAAACTGTTTCCATTTATTCYAGCAATAAGTTATGTTGTCCATGGCGAGAGCACGTATTTTGTGAAACACCAAAGGAGATGACTTCTCAACGGCTGAATTTTCAAAATTTTTAAATAAAATTTCAGGAGACATTGCTCAAATATGTACCTTTCATATGTCATATTATATTTTTGAAATATATATGTTCCTATTAAAAAAAAAAATTGTAAAACTACCTTTCTTATACCACTGAGACCCACATAACCCCTTAAACAGGCTTCCTAACCAAGCATCCTGAAGGTCCCAGTGGACTAAGAGTACAAGATATTTAAATACCAATTGTACATTTGTGTGAAGGTGGTAGATCTAGAAACGTGGATGACAAGCTGAAAATAGGAAAGGAACATCTGAGAATAAAGACAAACCTTTTATTCTACTTTTTGAGAAGAAGCCACTGTTTAGTCTGAGAGAAGCTAAAAACGTTTATTTGAAAGGAGAACATAAGAATGTGACAGCCATTTATTCAGAAAAGTGTTACGCACCACAAAAGGGTGAATGTTTTTGCATGCTTCTATATTCATGAATTTGGGATTTTGAAGTGCATCATAGAAAATCAATGATAGGGATAACCATGATTGAATAATGCAAGAAGATAATGTTCCGAAACATACAATCAGACTCTACACTCAATGATGTACATGAAAACCATATTGCTACTTTAGATTGGCCATCACATTACCAGACTCCGATCCATTAGAAAATGTTTGACCATTCATAAAAGCCCAAATATCAAGATACCTGGAGGTCGTTTTTTGTGAAAAATGTGGAAAATTTAGTTGCGAATTGCCATCAAGGATGTAAGGTTATAATAGACAACACGGTAAATTGGAGAAAGTATTGAATAAACGTCAGCTATAATAAAAAAAAAAAATGTATTTTCTGCACATTTTCATATTTCTTACAACATATTTCCCAATAAACACTACCCACCTTTTGAAAAACGAAAACGTTATTTCTTGAACGCCCTGTAGCTTCTCTGTGAGAGGTCCCAATATTTGCAAGAGAAATTTTCTTCTTCTCGTAGACTATGACCCCGACTGGGGCATATTCTTAGTTTTAGGAAATGAAAAAAAAGGAAAATATTCGACTCTCTTTTGGAAGAGATATCGCACAATGATATTAAAGAACGCTTGGAGCATGTAAACCGCGACTCTTCTCCTTCTTTTATGAAAACAACTACCATGGAAAATACGTGAGAAAAGACCACGTTCACGCTGAACTTGGGAAAAACCAATTGGGTGGTAACTTCCTTTGACGAAAATTATAAAACTACTTTTTTGTCGAAAAAGACAATCCATTTCGTATTAAAAGAACCCTATCAGTTTGAAGCTGCCGTCAAATAAATAATCGGTTTTAAAAGAAAAGTTGTGAGAAAGTTTTCCTCATCCGCTATCATTTTTCGTTTACGAATCTAAAAGTATTTTCAAAAGCTATATCTATCTTCTTTACACACTACAGCATAGATCGATACTCATTATTCTTGTAGACTTATAAATTCTTCATTGAACTGATTTAGAGTTGCAACCTGAATTTGTTGTACCTCTTCTCATTGTGCAGAGTCAAATCAAAATAGGACATCCAAATTTAAAAGAAAAGAAAAGAATAAATGCATGCATCCTTATGCAGCAAGTGTTGTTTGGCACATACTGTTTATCCTCCTTTCCATTGGACGTTCCAGTTGAATTACGATCCAGACCATCGGTTACCATAGCATCACGCACTAAACTCTGTACCAAGGTTCGATCGCAATAATAGGGTTCGGCTTTGCGAGAACCTTGCACGTTATTTAGATGCTGAGCAAAGTGGCCGACAGGTGTCACGCCGTGCATGGCATGGTGTGGTTGTGGTGGTTTTGGTCGCACCTGTGAGAAAAAAAAATGGCTAAAGTTAATTGAAACTGTTCGTCAAATATTTATTTTTTTGTGCATAACTATTTTAGCAGATAATATTAAATGTCTGGCTTCTAAAATTTCTATTCTATTTCGAAGTATTGCTTACCGACATCCACTTCCAGCCTGGCCGTCCTGCACGTCCCAAGAAATGTAAGACCTGCTCTTCCGGTGAGCCAAAACTTAATTCTTGTTCACGTGAGGCTGAGAGATATTCGCCAGAGCTTTCACGCTCCTTCTCTAAATCGCTAACACTATTGTACTCACAGTACACCCAATCGGGATGTACGCGCCAACTGTCTCCCTTAAAGTACTCGGTCACTGTAGGGTAAGAAAATTCCGTGAGTGGAAATATAAGGTTAAACTGAGGTAGAATATTTGCCGTACCATTTCTGCGCGAGTGCCTTATTTCCTGTTGGGAGACCAATTCGTGGCTGCCATATTTTTCAGGGAGTACAACAGCTAAGGTAAAGGGCGTATCTTCGATAGGTCCATAAAAATACCTGAAATCGATGAAAATATTATTGAAATATCACGCATTGACTTATCAGATACTTTGCGGGTACTGGAGCCTACCTTTGTGTACGCGCAGTTACCCTTTTCATTTCGTCAAAGTGATTGAATACCGTGAATTCGGTTTCACCCTCCTTGGGCATGAGCATATCGTTGCGCATCTGTTAAAAAAACGGTATTTGATAAACTACAAGACTGTTTCAAAATTACATTCAGTCTCCACTCACGTCATATAAGAGATTCTTATTCATTTCGACAATTTCATGCTCGTTGCCCACTTCGGTTTCCGGCAGTTCCAACTCCGTTACGTCGACTGACGTGTACCGCGGCCGCAATTGGTCAATATATTGATTACCATCACTCAATGGACGCAAATCTGGATGATACAGTACACGTCCATTATTATCAACGATAAACGAATATCCATTCGGTCCCAATTTATGTTGCGGTATCATCTTACGTATCTCCTCGATGGGCACATCGGTGCCAACAACACCGAGTAAATTTGCCACACGCACCGAATGGTTTCGTCTATCGAAGACCGGAGTTGAAACTGTCGTCACCAGCCTGCGCTGGTAGTCAGAGTCACGCGCCAAACCACCAGTCTTGCCGGCAACAAAGACTGGACTCCAGTGCACTGGATGATCAGCCTGATACATTATCATTGGACGTGCCATAACCAGCGCATAGTCGATAACCTTTTTGCGTGCCTCATCCATATCGTTGATTTGTACAAAGAAACCTTTATTGGAGCAGGCCATTTCATGCAAATTGCTGCGACTACTCGAGTCGGAACCGATAAGGTAGGTGAATATTCGTACGGGCATGTGAGGCCAATTGTATTGCTTGATTATGTCGCTATGCGTCTCCGAAGTACTCTCGGTAATGAGCATAATGGCTTGATTACATTGACTGCCTTCGCCGGATTGATTGTACTAAAATTACAGGTAAACAAAATCAAGACGATTAAGCATGTTTGGAAAATATTTAGTAAAGATAAAGAACCAACCTTGTGAAGCAAGCTGAACGCATACTCCAGACCAGCTGTGAAATTGGCAGTATTTTCGAGTTTAATTGCTTTTACTGCGGATTTGATTTCCTGTATATTGTCTGGGGTGGCGCGTACCATGCGATCCTTAAAGCACGGTACCGGCGTTTTGACATCCTCCGCAAATGTAATCAAGTTGACGAAATCGTTTTCGCCCAGCGTGTCAAGTATGTTAAAAGCTGTAGCCATAGCGAGTTCGAAAGATTTGTCCGACATGCTCGACGAGGAATCCAATAATATCATCTGTATTCCATCAAAAGAAAATCGGTTAAATCTAGCATTTCAAACAAACACAAAAACTTACAATATCTTTTGGTGACGATGCGGCTTGCACGAACCAGTTTTGTGCGCGAAAGTCGTGTATTTGTTTGCTGCCCTTCGAACCCTCGGGTGGCCATGCAGTGCCAGGAAAACGACGTAGGAAGCCAGTTGATGAGCCGAAATACTGCCAAGAGAGCGCTGGATCGCGTTCAAGATTGTTTTGAAAGAGTGGATCGAGATGTGCGCTCCACTGAAGTGCTGACTTTACATCAGGCTCGTCAAGCGAGACAGAGTTCGGCACTAGAATGGAACTCAGACTGAGGTTGACGGGTAATCGCTCGAAACGACGCATAAAACGTATGTCCATATGCCGCGCACCATCCGCCAATTTACCATCCGAATTGTACTCGTTGATGCGACGGGCATCGTAGTGTTGATTATTTACCGTCGCGGAAGTACTGTGAGAGTTCTGTGATTCCAATTCGGAGAGAGCGGCCTGCTCTGCGGAGTCCATAATGCGCTGTAAGAAAAAAAGAATTTAGAATGTTAGTAACCAGATAAAATCAAAATATTTTGAGTTTCTAATAGATAGTAAAGTATACAAGTTTCCAAATATGGAAATATCATACACAAATTTGAAATCATAAACTTTTAATCTAGTTTTCATTTAACATTTTTATCAAATATTTCATAAACTTTTAATCTAGTTTTCATTTAACATTTTTATCAAATATTTGATAATGAGAGTACATGAAATAAGTTTGTATTTTATTGTCGAATAAGAGATTGAACAAAAAAAGAAGGAATTTGTTATATATAGGTTTGTTAAAAGCGTTAAAAGCCCTAACACCAATTACGCACCACTCCTCACATGTTAGGGTGTTGTAAAATATCTGCTCGAGTAATTATGCAGTGATTGCTGGCTTTATATCAAGTAAAAATCCACACATGAAAAGCTAACTTTATATAATTGTTTCTCAGCTGACTGACTACATTAAATTTTTTCTAGAAGGGTTATTGATTTAACTATTTTAGGAATTTTACTCCAGTGAAAACAATACTTGCTGTAAGACCCTGGAGAGGTTACTGTTTTAAAAGTTTTTTTTTGCTTTGGTTCATCGTGTGCATTATTGATTGGACTTCGGAATGAAATTATAGGACCTTGCTTTATTCATTGTTACATATCGACCCAAAAACTCGGGTTTATTAAATATCTGAAAACACTGCTCTGAATCATCAACTCGTCGTTGTTTTCGGTCAAAAGTGAGCTCGCGCGGCACCCACTTTGCACAGAGCTTTCTCATAACCAAAGGTCTGTGAATGGTATGATGTACAAGTTTAGTTTAGTTGTTATCTTTAGAGTGCTATCTCGATTAACTTCACTTTACGGTCATTCAAAATTTTGATGTTTTCATCGGTAAMAACTCATTTCACCACGTCTAAGCTTAGCATACCAATCTTAGGTGGTTGATTTTCTTGGGGCAGTGTCATCAAGTCAAGTTTTTGCTTCAACAGTATTTTTTCTTTGATAAAGCAATATTTTATCAACACAACAAATTCCTTTTTTATTCTTTTTTCACAATAAAAAAAGTAGATTCCCTTAAAATGATATATAGTAATTCAAAATAAGTAATAAATAATAAGTAAATTTAGGAAATATGGTGTAATATAGCATAATAGTAATCCATGGTTTGATTTCATTTGCACTTAAGAAAATATTTTGTTAACACCCGAACGTCTGTGTGAACCTATTGTGAGCCATAATTTTTTGAGTTCGTATATAACTTCGGTTATCTTAGAACCAGCATCAACACCAACAAAAATATCAGCCTCGAAATCCAACGCATAATCATGTTTGCCAGCAAACAATTTTGGTCTGAGTAGTCTACTGAAAAGTAAAGTTCTCTCTCGCCGAACAAATACCAAACTCTACAACCACTCCCGTGCATCAAAAATGGGTTAAATCGGGTCAATACTTTCCCGAGCCCTCATATACATAATACAATACAAAGACTTTATGTTGAAAGCAGAATGAGAGGCGAGAGAGCGCATTTTACTCATAACAAAGTATCCTTGTGCTTAAAATAGATAAAATTGGAAGAAAACTTGACCTAGTCCCTATGCAACTAATAGCAGGACTTTCGAGAAACTGGTGGACGTTACTACATATGATTGGTGGATGAAACACAGGGATATTTTTTAGCATGGTTAATAGTTAAATTAGGGTCGATACTACCCAACTCCGGTATACTACATCGAATGATTTTCGTTTTTATTGGTTACGATTCGCCACATCATATTACTGACTATGAAAAATTTTAAACTTCTGCTTTCGGAAATACCCAAGTTATATAAAAAATTAAAAAAAGGTATCATCAAGTGCATGATATCGTTAAACAAAATAACGTAAAAATAAGAGTTTTTTGTTTTTGCGAAGTTATCTAGTATTGTGCAAAAAATTCAACTCAGGATTGTTCTATGATATTCAGAAAATGTGCGAAAGGACAGAAAAAAAGTTTGTGTAACTAGCAGTATTGAAGTTCATGTTAAAAAATCGATGATCCTGAAACGAGAATCGCATTACCGACAGTATACAAAAAAATTGTGTTTTCAATCGGAATTTAAATCATATGCAAATGTATACCAAGTTTATTCCAGAGACTGTAAATCGTTCGAAACAAAAAATATCTCAGTGAAACAATATGGTATGATGCTCACAGAAAAGAAATAGGGAAAATTAGGGAAGATAAAAATAAAGACATTGATTGTGCTAAGGCGGGCTTATGCTCTCTATTATGGTATGTATGGATATGCAAGCGGTAAAGCTTATTCACTGAGTGCTCCGGCGAGCTGATTCACTCAGACTACAGAAAGTTATTTGGTTTCTATTATCTTCAACACAGCTGATCAGAATCGGAGGATAACCGCGCTTACTCCCCATATAACGGTACTGTTCAAATTCAATTTTACCTMCGAGATGGTATGAGAAAGCGTTAWRGGAGACGTGGAGAAAATTATACGATGGGCGTTGTACCGCCCACTTTGTGGTGAAATCCCATACCTCGGGATCCAATGGCACTTTTCACATATTACTCTATCACAGTGTGCAAATAAACGAAATCGGACCACAACCACGCCTACTTCCCATATAACACAATTTCAAATTCCATTTGATTATTTTACTTTCTAGTACACAAATCAGGAAATAATTAATATAACGGGCTAAAACGTTGCACTAATAATGCCTTTGAAGTATGCCACCTTAYGACCAAAAATTGTCCAAATCCAAACAAAACTGTTCAAGCCCCTACGTACCGAATATGTAGATTCCAGTACCTATAATTGATTTTTGACCGAAAGTAACGTTAAATGTGTGAGATATRCCATTGAAATTCAGACMGAAACMTTTMCTGATAATAGCAATTCTKTGTATCAAAATAGGGTTGAATCGGATCATTACTTCCTTGAACCTCCATGTACCTAATATAAAAGAATTTCGACCTTCCAGTTGATTTTTTACTGGATATCTCAGCCAATGTTTGAGTTATATCAAGGAAAATTACAGAACATATTTTACTCATGGCAGTATACATATCTTTGTGTCAGTTGGTCTGATAGCTCGATTTACTGTGGAGGAAATATAAAAACAATAACAGCAAATTAATACATTTAAATATACTAAAAGTACGCAATATGTATCTAATATTCGCCTACATACAAACTCAACTGATCGTAAACAACAACTTTCTGTTGGCGCACACTAACCAATCTCCCGTTGGTCCCCCGATTGCTGGGATGAGAAGAGCGCTTGTGAATCCGACTTCGATGTTTATTGTAATGTGTCCGACGAACTCAATAATATTTACATCAGATTTCTTTCAAACTTCCAACAACTGTTAGCATATTCTTCCAAATAAACAAAGATTAATATAAATTTTCTACTTGAGGGCAAATTTCAGTAAATTTTACTTAAAACCCGTTATTTCGAAGTGACAGATTACAAGAATTTTGCACAACTTTTAACACTGGATCTGAGTCACAATTTATTGACATATTTAACGCCACAAACTCCTTCGATCAAAGTCCTTCGCTATGGCAGTTGAAACTTAGGCTTGATTTAAGTCAGAACAAACTACCAGCTATTTGGCGCACTGAGACCTTCGGTAATACTGCGCAAAGGATACTGAGAAAATTTCGATACAGTTATATGGGCATAAATTTGGCTTTAGCCGATGGTATTAATTATATCAAAAAGCTGTAACCAGAAATTACGAAGGTGGCAAGTTTAGCTCGACAGTAGTCAATTTAAGTGACAATCGTTTGGGGGAATTCACTTTGGATTGGCTTGTAGCAGCGAACATAAAGTGCCCTTTTGGAATAAACCTCGAGCACAATTTGATTAAAAGCTTGTTTGCTTTGCAAAATTCCTTCAGCACAACCGAAGATTGTGCACGTGAAATCAAAATGACTGGCGAACCGGTCGTATGCGAATGTAAATTTGCTTGGATTTGCAGTGAAAGATCTCGCGCAGCTGGAACGTAATGAACTGTGTGCTTGGGAACCGGTAATACGCCCCAGCAAATGTTATTGCCCTGAACATCACTTGCAAGGCTGCGCAACATATCAAACAGCTCAAGAGTTCGGTAATCGATATTACCGATACTAATATCCCAACTCAACGTGTCGCACAATAACATCACGAACATACGTCTCACTCAATTGCCAATCGCTTAAAATCTTTAAATGATGACTTTTTGCGTACATACCTCAATGACAGCACAAAACTACAATATCAATATCTCAGTGAAAATGCCTGGTTTTGCGACTGTACCTCGCAACAATTGCTTTGTCGATCAGTTACTCTGTGATAATCTGCAGAACGTTACACTCCATACAGAAAGTGTGAGAAATTGTGTCTAACTCCCGTTAATGTTAAATATTATCAGCACTTGAATGCTACTTTGATTACTGTAGCGTTAACTATTATTATTTTACGAATGTATAATATATAAATTGGAAGTAAAAGTCTGGCTATTTGGCCACAACATATTGAGGTTTTGCATTCATGAATGTGAGCTCGATAAGCATAAAACCTTCGATGCTTTTATTTCATATTCACACCAAGATGCAGATTTCGTCAACCATACATTACTGCCGCAACTCGAACAATGCGAACCACCATTTCGTGTATACACGCGCGAACGCAATTGGCTGGCTGGCACTTATATACCTGAACAAATCATCGAATCGCTGGAACAGTCACGTCGGACGATCATTGTACTTTCGCAGCACTTCATCGAGTCGGAGTTTCGCACAGCGCATCAGTGCTCGTTAAACGAAGGTCGTGCACGAATAATAATGATTAAATATGGTCAAATCTCGAACAGTGAGTTATTGGATAGAGAACTAAAGGCTTATCTGGATATGATCACATATACCTCAGTGTTGAGTCTTAAAATTTTCAAAACCGGAACATAACTCTGCAAGCCCCTACATACCGAATATATGGACCATAGTACGTAATGCTGACTTTTTGCTGAAAACATCAGTCAAACCATGTGCTATACTGTGGGAGAAAATATTAAAACTTTTAAATTTCATGCGAATACCCATTTATCGATATATTTCTTGTGTAGATTGGTATGACTGTCAGTTAAATCGGTAGCAAATTTCACACAAAATTCAAATTCAAATTCAATTTATCAAATTCTATTAAATTTTGTATRCGGAATCAAATTTCTGMTGCCGACACGTGGCTTTCGATGATAACTGTTTGCCGCGAGCATGTGTTTTTGATTCGTACAAATTATTCAAAGAGAGTCGACAACGCGTTGACGATGCACTATGTCCAGGACGGCCATCAACATCAGCTTATGATCAAGACGTCAACAAAGTAAAGCAACTAGTGCTTTAGAAACAACGATTAATAATCAGAGATCTTAACGAAATCGTTGGAATATCAGAAGAATCAGCGAAACCCATATTACTACTGGCGATGAGTGTTGGAGACTTTCGACCCAGAAACAAACGACCAACTGGTCGAATATTGTGACGAAGGCGAGTCGAGGCCGAAAAAGCCACGTCAAAGCAGGTGAAAATGTAGATTATGTTCACAGTTTTCTTCGATATCGATTGCGGTGCACTCTCAATTCCTTCCGTACGCCCAAACTATCAAAAGTTAATACTATTTGAGTGTTATACGTTGTTTGTGCGAAAATATTCATAAAAAGAGGACGCAAATTTGGGCGGACAACTCTTGGTTTTTGCACCACTGTATTTCACCGTTAACGTTGCTTAATAACCTTTTACTTAAGGTTATAAAATTATATTATTCGTCACACAATGAATTCCGATCTTCTGGGCAACGGTTTTCACACCAACTCAATATATTAATTTTAGCAGATTCGGTTGAG